ACCTCATACTCGTTACTTTGTAAGTCACAGGTGCCAAGTCATCCACTTTCCTGAACATCAACCTGAAGCTGTGTAATAGGTGTCTCTTCTTGCACTATTTTGGTTAGTTTGTCTGTTGTGTGGTTGATTGCAGGAACAATATGGCCAAAGTTAACGGTGCCGTGCTGGAATGCCTTACTCAGTGCTGCTAGTTCTGGGAGAACAGCCTTCAAAATGTAGATGGCACCAACAAACTTGAAGCTTTTCATTTTGGAGAGCAGGTACGATGCCAAAGCATCTTTGTCATCAATCAGATTTATTGCTTGTATGATAGAAACAAAATCTTCATACACCCCATCAACAGCATTACTTGTCGACAGCCAGCATGTTCTGCACGCTTTTCTGGCCTTCTTTTCCACAGCAGACCTTGCTTTATAGGATAGTTTCATCTTTCGCGAAGACTCTTGTGCTTTAACTAGAACTGCCATTCGTTTTGGAGAGTTAGCAAAGAACTTCCAGAGTTGCAAGAGGATTCCTTCCACTTGTGCGATATACTTCGTCTCGTCACTTGCACCAGCACAAGCCAAGGCAAGCCTGTGGCAGATACAGTGTACATTTAGTAGCTTACTGTTAAGTTGCTTTAGTCGGGCAGCTACTCCAGTTTTGTGGCCTGTCATAACCTTCGCACCATCGCTTACCAGACTCATCATTTTCAGAATGTCAAGTTCACAGTTACTTAGATTGTCCTGGATACATTTTGCAACTGTTTCGGCATTGGTAGACAAGGACTGTTCCAAAACATCGTCAATGAAAAAGAATTTCACCAAAGGATGGCCGTCGTCACCAACATACTGTACAAAAGCTATCAACTGTTCCTTGACTGCAACGTCCGTTACTTCGTCGACTAACAGACCAAATGCTTTGGATGTCTTCAAAGCCTCAACTACCCTCTGCTTAAGTACTTTTCCTATGGTCAAGAAGATTTCAATGGTTGATCCTGCAGAGCGATGCTGAAAATGTTTCATCTTTTCTAATCCAAGCGTTTCGAGTAATTTAAGAAGTGAAGGAAACTTCTTGTTCGCCATCTCCTCCTTTGCCAACCAGTATACAGCCATAAAAGCATTGTGCAGAACTTCATCTCTGCTTCTCTCTTGGCTTTCAATTTCTTTGTGAAAAACTGACACTCGCCTGATCATTTCTGCTTCTACAGCTGGTGTATGTTGGGCACTCTTTGCATGTTCTTTAAGAGCATCAGTTTTAAATCGTTGGGCAGGTGTGAGATTGTAGATTTTGCTGTTGTTCTTGATATTTGAGGTATTATGCTTCTTGCATAGCAAACAAAACATTCTGCCTTTCTCACCATCTGTTTCCTCCTTGTATATTAGCCACCACATGCCGGAGCGTGAATCGAAGGCCAAGTTGCGGTCGTTAACCCATTGATGTTTAAAGCGGTCTCGCTTTAAAGAGGAATTACTTAACTGACCCTTTTCGGTGAGACTGAAACAATTATTCTTCTTGCAAGTGTAGTGATTGTGGATGATTTCTGACAGCCCAAATAGCTTTAAAACTGAATCATGATCAAACAAGTCGGTACTTGCTGCACACGTCTGGCTTCTCGAGAGAAATTGCACGGATTTTCCCACATCTGGCACGGTTTTGACATTGGAGTTTGAAACAGGAAGGGTTTTATTTTCGCCAGGGGTATGTGGCTGTGAAACTTCACCTTCTAATGAACTACGTTCTGAAAAATATTAAGTTACAAGGTACTCAGAGTAAGACAACAGACAAGTAAGCTAAACCTTCAAATTTTATTGAAAGCACCTGATCGAAAATCATACAAACGAATCGGCTGTTAGCGACTGAAAAGGCCAGCTGATTAAGTTCAAACATGGAGAAATGTTCCTTCTATTCTACAACTGACCTTCTGACGAGGAAATCTGCTTTGACCGCTTTTGTCTTGGTTGGAAATATGCTAATAAATCCGAACGCGATGGCCTTTTGTCCGCCATTACTATGCATATTGAGTCCCAGTCTCCCTCGATTACTTGTCCATGTAAATGCCTGGCAAATTTTCTGCCGTTATGTTCGCTACATTTTAAGACAATTTTATTCGCTTCGTGTGAAGACTTCAGTTCACCTTTGCACAAGACAAAAGGGAGGAGTAAAAGCACGGCATTTTCTTTTTTTATAATTTAAACTCAGTAGATCATGGGACTTTATAGTTCTTGTACGAATTCAAATTTAATGTTTATCTGGTCCGATCGAACAGTTTTCAGGCGGGTACTTGGCTCTTCACAAGCGGGTATTTCTACCTGCTACCCGGCTTCTATTGAAACCCCTGGAACCTGGCTGAGATTCAGAGAGGGAGTACGTTTACACCGCAGAAATTAAGTATGGAAAGTATGTCTTCTATGCAATTTGTATTCAATTTCACCCTGCTGACTACCATTACCCAGGCAATTACTCTTATCAAAGATTAAAGAAATACTGATTTTCGACCTGGCATGAACATCGCGATTTAACTGACAGATTAAAACAACCCAACAAAAGTTACGTAAACCAAAATTTGGAAAGAACAATGGTAGAAACGCTTTACAAGCATCCTGGTATATTATTATGTCGTACTTTTAGAGAGTAAGGAGACAGGATGATATCTACACGCTACATTCAGAGCTCTCAAACAATCCATTACCTTCAATACCATCTAGCAATGTTGGTTTCCACATTGAGGAACTGGAAGGAATGGTGACCAGTATGGCATCGCTGGTGTAGCATACATCGAACATGTTGCAAACTGTGCAGGATAGAAATAGCAGTAATTGTCGATAGTTCTGTTAACCTTTGGTTGATTATTTTTCTCCTTAAATGTTAGACAGTGACATGTAAGAAAACACAGCAAGTATTCAATAAATTTATTTAAAATTGTTAAAGCATTATGGAACAAAACACTCCACACTCTTTTATTTGTTAATTGATGATAACTGACAAATTTAAAAGTTACCTCTCCTTCCATCTGTGGAGGATGTCTCTCCAGGCCAGTAGAACATACCCTCTCCATGGCTTTGAACCGATAGCCATCTTAGAGCCCTTCAAGTAACCAATTAGAATGTACTGAATTATCAGTGGTGACGACGGTATAATATTATAACATTGTCCTTTCATGATGACAATTTTAACATTTAGAGATGTCAAAGTTTTTGACATAAACCCCGGCTAAATCGATGGTGCCGCCCGGGACGTCTACAGTAGTGAACCCGTGTGTCCAGTCTTTAGTTCCATCTGTACTACAACAGCCTTCTCAACCGACTCAATAAAGGCTTGTTAACATTGATACACTGCGTGCACGTGTATACCTCACAATCCCCTCCCTTACTCCAGCGTTCTCCCTTCTGGGGTTGAGTAGGACTATGCAGATAGCCATCGTGTGTCCGTGCCTGCCAGCAAAGCTGAAAGGCCGATGTAAAATGCTTTTAAGTCGTGCTTTTGGAAAACTATTTTTAACTGATAAGGTTATTATTGACAGCTGCCGGTCAACTGGACCAGAGTGCACTTCGCGCGTTTGTCATTGCTTTTGTTCCTTGCTTTGTTGGTTGTGATTGATTATGCGTATGAGTTTGTATGTGTGGGTGTTTTTGGTACAAAATCGTGAAAAGCTTTATTAGCTTTGCAGTGCATATAAACCTGAAGAAAATAACATTGAGCTCCTATGTTTGTACTCTTTTCACATCTATCGCGATTCCACTTCCTTTCCTGCAATTATCAGAGGTGTTTTATATTATGCCAAAGTTCCCCAAAATTTCGGCTGGAAGTCAAATGGGAAGGTCCGTTTCAGTTCCTTCTGATCGCAACATTCGTGACCCCTTTGGAGGTGGCCCACTTTGACCATTCGAACCGGCCAGACCAAAATTCCCCTTTCCAGTTTGGCAAACCAGTTCGTTGCCCCACTTTTCTTCACTTATGCATGCAGGGAATAAAAATGGTCAGAGCCATTCCTCCTGCTTGGCCAGGTTTGATCAGAAAATGTTTTGTTCCATTTTCCTCGCAATAATGAAAGCGCCCCCCCCCCCAGAAGTCTTTGTGAGCTCTTTATTACAACTACCAGCAATCTTTGCATGTGCATACTTGCTTTCACGCATTTGGATAAAGTTCTAGTAATTTTACAAATTACATGTACGCTCACATTCCTGGCTGCAAATTACGCTCACATTCATGGGTATAAAAGATGACTGAGTAATTTGTCATCAGTGATATTAGAAAAGCGACTGCTGGCAAGCCCTTGTTACCTACCTTGTCAAAAGAGTGAATAAGGAAACTTGGCAGGGAAGTGTTCTCTCCTCTGCAGGAGGCCAACAAACTTTCTTTGCAGTGCACCACCTCATTTGTATGAGAAGGTAAGTTGGACTCCTCTTCCGAAATAAAGAAAGACAGCAAAGCAAATTGCATTCAGAATTCTTTTCTATAAGGACTTTCCAGTTTATTTACTTTTTGCAAATGTGGGAAGCTTTCTACTGTACCTAAGCTTAATGTTTTTGTTAATCTGTGCATTCCTTAATTTAAGCTTACCTCTCAAGCCATGAGGTGACATGTCTCCAGCCACGGTTCCAACTATGAATTATAATTAATTAGAGTAGAACACAACATAGGTTTAACATTGATCTAACCAGAACCTAGCAACTGAAACAAGTATCTATTATATCTTGTGGTTTCCTTGTGTAATCATAGTAAGCTTGTGTAAGTTGAATCACGACCTGTCAATATGTGTATGTGGACTTTCTAAGAAGTCCACCCTTTTCTACAACATTAAATATCTGGCCGCTGGTGAAATTTGAGGTGATCACTGACTGGATTTTGGTGGACGATCTCTCAGTAAAGGGCAACAAATGGTTTTAGGTTACCAAATACAATCATTTGTTATTGAAGTTATTTCCTTTATTCAAGGTATTATTTAGCTGTATTGAAATCACTTGATTAAAGGAATTTATCAAGACCATCATTGAGTGGCAAGTGAAAAAATGTTTGTGGACATGTTTTTGAAGTCCACGCAGATATATAATTAAATTTATATCATATGTTCAAAACCAACTGGATGCTTTCCCTGACATGAATGTCTGAAGTCACAGCACAGCATAAATTAATATACTTTGCAATACACATGTACATTCGATAGAATATTGCATAATTACCATGTAATAAACACACTGTAATGAGTTTTACCTTTGTTGTCTTCACTATAGAATGGTGTGCCAAGGACACCTACGGACATTACCAGGTTTAAACCTTTACACAAATTACAATGTACATTTGAAAACCATAATAAGAAACGGAAATAGCTGAGGCAGTCAGTTAAAGAAAGAAGAAAATTCCATTTTGCCATTATTCTACTTTAAATTTGATTTTAATTGACAAACACCCGCCCTCTAATTCAGTGTTGTACACAAACAAAGCCAATGTTGAAGATACACGTAGGAATCCATCGTTGTTGGGATATTTTCATTGTCTATGTTGACTGTAAATAGCTGAACTCTGGTTGTCGTTGACTACATGTACTTACAGTCATTAAGTGACTTTTACTTGTGTTTAGTGAGGATTGAAATTATCATTATCATTATTATTAGAGTTTTGTGGACTGCCCGATTGTTGTATAAATCAGCGTGTTCTATTTTGCCTAGATTGACACCAACAAAAAGGCATACATTGACTCCACCTAGTGTGCGATTTTGTAATCTGAAAATTTTTGTCTGAAATTTTTGCCTCCTAAAATTCAGTTGTGAGGAAAAAATCCTCTAGACCAGCTGCAAAACCCACTAGCCCTAATCAGACATGACATTTTTTGCACACTGACCATGTTGTCAGTGTAACAGCAATGTGAACGTTTAACCACTCTGTACAATAAGTTGATGTTACAGTACATTTTAAGTATTATTTTCTGTATAATCGTTGTTGTTTCTGGTTTTCTGAGGGAAAATATAAATAGATCTACATTGTAATAAAATATCATTACAATGTACAATGTAGCTATGCTAAAAAATACGCATTTTGTAATTTCATTTATGTACATTATGCTGCATGTACATACCTGCTGTAGAAAGGGATCTTGAGTTTGTGCTGGATTTTGTTCTTTCAGCATCCCTGGCTGCTGAAGAATTATTTTCTTGCTGTGCTGAATGAATAAAGACACTTGTCTAATAAATGCATGCTTTCAGTATGAAATGCCCTGTCTTTAATCCTTTTAAGCAAGAGCACTATAATATAAAATGCGATGAAATGAACATCATTTAGTATCTTTAAAATCTTGGAAATCAGAGTGATGCATTGAGCAAAGAAAGAATTTTCCAGTATCTCAGGTACAGCTGAACTCTCCATATGGACAGTTTCCTCTGTACCGAAAAATTCTCATACATTGCCTTTAAAAAAACTTCTATTCTATGGACCCTCTCAAAAATGGACAACAGACACCAAATCTCGGCCCTAGGAAGCAAATTCCAAAACATGGACACTTGATCAATCAGTGATACCAA